AGGAAAAAATTGTTTCATTAATTCTTGTAGAATTTTTCTTCTCGATTTAATTGAGTTTATATAATTAGTTTGTTTCGCCTTTTTTAGGCCTTTTATAGGTTTTTTTTTAACAATTTATTTTTACTATTATTTTGCTTTTATATATAATGTTTGATCTTATTTGAGTAAGAATGCATATAGGGAAAAAGATCTGAACATTTGAGAACTATTAGAAAGCTATTTTAAAATGAAGGTTTGATACAAAAAAGCGGTTTTGAATTTCAAATGGTTAAGAGGAATGAAATATGTATTCGGAACTCATTAATCCACTTGGTTTAAAGCTTCAAAACACTTTCCCCTTGACAAGTTCTGTTTGAAGCTTTAAACAAAGGAGATTAATAAAAAAAGTTATTTTGTTTTGTTATGTATAATGTTCTGTAAATTTTAAAAAAACAGTTTCCCTTTTCTCATATTAATTTTAAGTTAAAGATTACGTTTTTTAAAGTTTTATTAATTTACATTTACTCAATTTGACTACCCCGTTACTTACCCGGAGAAGAAAGCTTAGACCTTCATATGAAGGGACAAAATTTTATTCAATTTCGTTCCGACATTTACTTTTTCATTTTTACACATATCTAAACACACACATCCATATATATATGCATTTCTGAATCTGGTATCAGTAAAAAAAAAAAAAAAAAAAAAAAAAAAAAAAAAAATCAATTATTAAGAGATTAAGAATGTATCTAAATACAGTCTATTGCCATACTGTTCAAATATCTTATAATTAGGAAAACTCAATTTAAAAATTCAGTTTTAGAGAACTGCTATGTATGGAAATGGCTTTCTGTTGCAATAGAAGATGAATATATGTTATTTTTATTTACTATTACTTTTGCTGCTTGCAGTATTTTTTCAGTACTTATGTTTAAAGTGATGTTTAAAACTGCATTAATATTCCTCCCCTATAGAAACTAGAAGGCAATCAATTCAATGAAATTAAATGACAAGATTTACCATACAGCAAACATATTTTAAATGCAATAAATTTGTTTATTAAAATTATAATTCTAGACCAGGGATTCTCAACCAGGTGGGAATGCTTCTTTTTTCATAGTTTCAGGGAGGAAAGCTGTCAGTCTATTTAGTTTTACTTTATGAACATAAAAAACTACTTTTATTCAATGTTGGGTATTTATAAAAATTTTCTACAATTTCTGTCATTTATTTATAAAACAGATCGGAATATCATCTAATTCTAGACAAATATATATACAGTCAAAAGTCGTTAATCCGGACTCGTCAGGACTTCGGTGATTCCGGATTATAAATCATCAGTTTAAATCTGGTAAGATGGCATGCAGAAATTATAAAATTAAAAATATGAAACCATAATTTATGAAATAAAGAACAATTATGATCTAAAGGTATCAAAATTTACAAAAAAAAAAAAAAAAAAAAAAAAAAAAAAAAAAAAAAAAAAAAAAAAAAAAAAAAAAAAAAAAAAAAAAAAAAGCTTAATATTTATTTGTTTACTTTATTAAACATTTCTTTCAATGTAAGTTGTTTCGTTTTTTATGTGATAATACATTCTCTTTAATTCTATAAACAGACATAATTTCTTGTTCAGTTACAAAGTTCCGCTGTTCAAGTCCTATAATTGCTGTGTCAAGAATACCGACTAATTTGTCAATCGAAATTTTTTCATTTTCAATAACCTCTGTCACTTTCTTCGCTATCGGAAGCGAATTATAATGACGAGGAATTTGATTTAAATCATATCGGACATAAGATGGAGTACATCGAGATGAAATACTACATTTAGTAAGGAATTATCAGCCAAATAAAATAAAAACATCTGCCCTGAAGATAAGGATAGTGCTGACAGATCAATTTCCAATTCGCTGCGCGTCGCGGCGTTAAAGGTAAACAAAGTTTAGATAAACAAACGTTAAAGTTTAGATAAACAAAGGATATGCCTTTATCCATTTTTTGCAGCAATTCCACTTTTTGTTTAATGGACTTCGAAACATACTTTTGCTTTGTACATCCTTTATATATTAGTAAATATATATCAGAAATTCTATTTGACACAATCGAAAGTTCAAGCTTACTTTTATAAAATTGCTCTAACAGTCTGCAAAAAATAATAAGCCAGATCCAATTCGAAGATTAAGAAACAACGCAATCTGCAACATTAACTGAATTAGATAATTTTAGCTTAGCTTATACCGTCCGTTATACATTAAACGCGCATTCGTAAACGTATTTTGCACACGCATATTCGCAGCCGTAAAGGTCTTACGCGTTGACGCATGCGCAGAAAGTTTGTAGCTTTGAGGTCCAGATTATGGGTGTCCGAATTAACGACTTTTGACGGTATTTACTTTTCAAGTTTTGAAAAGGAGACAGGACGGGAAAGATCTTCTAACAATAGTGAAAGGGGTGCATGGGGAAAAAAGGTTGAGAACCTTTGTTGCAGACTGACCAATAATAAATGAAAGACATAATAAGAGCACATCAACTGGAATTTTAGAAACTATACAAAATTCGGTACATGATTTTGAGTAGCCTGGTGAAAAAGGGGAACTGGATGAAAAATGGACACAAATTTGTATGTGTGCACATGGCTCATGTTTCATTTGTATATGTGGCTAGTGAAAATTTTCTTTTTTACGATATGATAGTTTATTATTAATAAATATTTAATATATGAACTATTTTCAAACTGTCCTCAACAACAATTAAAAAAAAAAGATGTTGCATCCAGAAAATAGACACTCATTGGGATTAACAAAATGGTTAAACAAAAAACAAAGAGCTATGTCTAGCCATTACCTAATATTGTAGAATAGGCATCACGTTAGCCATGATAATGTGTTTGACATATTATTAGTAGTAACTGATAAATTGCAGCTATCAGGAAATGTATGTTAAAAACGAATTTTTGGATGTGTTTAAGTATGTTCTTTATCTTAAATAAATTGCTTATAAAATTGCAAAAACATTAAATACAAACATAACAAAAAAGAATAATCACAAGTTTACATTAAATTGCTCTGGTATTAAACTGAATTGAGCAGACGCTAGGTGAACTGCCGATTTGCAGTAGTTACTGTTTAATTAGTTTTGTTTATGTTGCTTTTTATAATATTTGATAACAAATCACACTTCCTAAATTTTAATAGTAGCAATGTTGTATTCTCTTACAGAGACTGCTTCAGAAAGGATATAACCAAAATTCGAGGTACTATTCGGTTTTGAGGGCCGTAAAAATTCTCCAAACTATTGTTGATGCCAATGCTGCCAAAAATAATTGCGGCAACCCTAATGCAAGAAAGGAAGTTTAATAGTAAATAACTATTTAAGATTGATGTTTTAATTTATATGAAAGGTTAATTTCATATAATACATTTTTATTATTATAATATATATGAAAAAGGCTAAACATGACTGTATGGAAGCATAAGAGTAACTAACTATTTCAGATCATTATTATAATTTATATAAAAATTGCTAAACATAACTGAATGGATGGCTGCATCGCTACTTCGCTACCGACTTATCGCTAAAGCATAATTTCATCTCGTTGGTTGTTCAAATGTAATTTTCTGTAATGAATGATGCCTTTTCTTTGAATATATTCTCGGTAAAGTGCAGAATCGCTTACTTATTTGTTTGCCGCTTTTTACAAGGGTAAAAACAATTGGATTTTTGTCAATTTTCTTTTACTTTTTAAGTGAAAATAGGTCGATATGTACGTAGATAAAGTCAACGGTGTACGCAGTGGCATTTTTGCGCAATTCTAGGATTTTTTTTTAAAGTGAGAATACGATGTGCACATGGATACCGAGTATGTGCAATTCTTAAAAATGCGTCAAGCAGCGGGTGATTCTGCACTTTACCCAAAATTCTATTGCAGAGTTTTCATCATGGGCAATTTCCAAATTGTTAAATCCACAGGGTATCAAAAAAGGATTTAAAAATTAAACTAGTATTTCAACGGTCTTAAGAAATATAGAACTATATAAACTTGCGCAATCTGAAATCAGCACATACGCTAGATTTGGCGCTTTTGCGCGTACATTTTCGCTGCAATTTTTTTACGGCCCTCGAAACCGAATAGTACCAAATTCGATCCTAAATCTAAATTTGCTGTTGGTTTTACAGGAAAGTTCTTTGTATTTTGAGGAAACCTGACAGGGGTCTTTCATTCTTAAGACAAAAAAATTCTGCAGTCATTAAACTAATTTCATTTTTTAAAAACTTATAATTCATAAGTAGCATTTTTATTTTAATAAAAAAAATTTCTGCAACTACAAAAAAAGGTAAAATTTACAGAAAATGAAAATTTTTTAAATACTATTAAAATTTTAATTCTTTTAAACATTTCAAAGATTATTCTGTAAAAATCACATTTCAATAGTTAAGGAAATATTAAAAACTATTTTGTTTGAAGATTTCAAATCAACAGAATTCAGCCGTTTTTCAGAATTTCAGCCAGATCAGAATAATAATTTTACTAAACTGTAAGAAAATCTTGTTTGCTCTATGCAGCCCTTTCACCACTGTAAGAAAAATCATCCCTCCTCCTTCCTAACTCGGAAAAATAGATATATGCTTATTTAAATTTACATTATTTTTTAACATGCTTTTATAAATTAATGAAATGATATAGAAAATGTTGATTAATACGAAAACCTCAATAAAAATAGTTTTATAAACTAAAACTAAATAATCAACAGGTAAATAAAATGTCGACCGCATTTCCCCTCTGAAAGTATGAAATCCCCCCTTCGATGGAAACCCCTGCATTAAAGTAAGCTGCTCATTTCTTTTAAAAATAAAATTACACTCATTTCAGTATCCTTTAATTTTAACTGAGAAAGTTTTATGAGGATTTCTACATATAATCTTGTAAAAATTAATAAACAATTTCAGAAAACATGAGAAAGCACTATTGAAAATGTTAAAAAATTTACTCAAATATGGAAAAGAAAATCAAGAATTCTACTCACACCAATAAATTTTTCCCTCGTAATTTAGCAGTATTTCTGAGTTCCTTAAATGAACATCGCAATACAGATATTTTACTTTCAAAATCTAAAATAGCATACTCTAATGCACGTTGATCACATATGTTCAAGGTAGTTTCTTCTACGACAAAAAGAACAATGGCACTGAAATAATGCAATAAGTTATTTTAGAATATTTATTTATAGCATTTTCAATTGTACATAGTAACATTATTCACCACTACTAAAGGGAAAAAAAAAAATCTCCATTAACTTACTAGAAGATAAGAGAGTATAAAATGGCTTACTTTTGGTTCTCATAAGCATCCCAAGCAGATATTATGCCTTTTGCTAATTCATACACAGATTCATTAATTGGTAACTAAAAATACAATAGATATATAAAGTGATAAAATATTAAATCAATATCAAAATTAAAATGTATTAATTACACTATTAAAACATATCATGTATTATAGTATATATACATATATGTAATAAAAACAAATTTATAGAAGTACAGATGAAGGAACATTGAGAAGCCAGAAACGTAGAAACACTCATTGTGCATCACATACACAGGACAGATTGTACATCCATATTGAAGAGGTAAAATTCTGATAGCATAAAATACTGAAAATGCTGATCCACAATGAATAAGAAATTTGGCAGTTAGGACGGATTAAATTCTGTTTTTATTTAAAGTGACACTTGTGGCCACAATTTACTTGGCACTTATATTGTGCCTATTTCCAGAACATTTACATTTTTGATACTATTGCAATTGGAAAAGAGCACAGAAAAATTGCGTCCAAGCAGCAACAGAGGTTGAATCAAAGTGCATATTTATCCAATATGGCAGCTCATCAAAGAGGAAGGTTTTGGTTTAGGTAGAAAAGTTTCAGTTCTCAAAATTTTGAGTTCAAGTTCCTAATTAGCTAAGTCATCAGCATTATATGCCAGTTATGCGACATAGATTTACCAAGAAATGATGCTTTGCAGAAATGTTATTGATTTTTTTTAGAATAAAGAGGAACTTCCCAGATTAAAAATGAAAAATTAAGTGGCTATTATTAAATTAAATTATAAAGCTGATTTACATATTTTAATCTTACACACACATATATATATGTCGAACTGAATCTGACTTCCAAAGTATTCTGCTGCTAATTAAAATAAAAACTATATTTCACGAAAGCAAAGTTCTTTACAAAAAGTAATTCTGAATTAAGACCCCACATTTTCAGGAATTATTTTAAAAGTCAATGCATTTTTAAGCTAAATGTTTCTCTCTTAAAATGAATAAAAGAATAAACATTCATTCAATAAAACTAAAAGGGGAAAAGAATATCAAAAACGTCATACATTAATTTAACAAGGTTTTTAATAACTACTAAATCTAGCAATTTATGGCATGGGGCTTATTTCTAAGGGTTTTGCAAAAATTCTACCCTTTTTTGTTTCCCACTTCAACATGGTATGTTGTTGAATATTTGAAAAGATCGCAATAGATGCATTCTTACTGAGGTGAGAAGAAGATTTTTCAGTTTCTTTGATGTTCATTTTGCATGTATGCAGGAAGGCCCTGGCAAGTGAGAATACAGCAATAATGAACTCTGTTCCTCACTGTGTAGACATGTAGGACTAGGGTTTGTTAATGAAAGCGATCTATATCAGTCACCTATTAGTTTGTAGGTATCATTAACCTCCCTTTAAGGGTTGAAGAGCAAACCTTTTCAAAGGAATGCACAGTTAGTGAAATTCATCATCTTTGAGTATTTTAATAATGAAACAGAGTACAAATTAGTTACCTTTCACACTGCTGTTCTGTGAAAAGTTTAAACATCAAAGAAAATGATATTAAGGTTGTAAGAAATTTAACTATAGACACCATAACTGATTTCTTATTGATACAATAATAAAATATCTAGTTTTCTAATATAAAATGGATACAACTCCTACATTATGAGCAAGCTTCTGGCCAAGTAGCATATATACCTACAAGCTAAATGATCCATGGCTCAATACTTGATAACGTAAATGTAATACTCCAACTAAGGTAAGGAGTACTGAAGTGGAAGTTTGCAGTTCAATACTTGACAGATCACGCATTGCTGGATGGAGGTTATCAGATCATGTGATTTTTCACATATTTGGCCACTTTTGACAAACCTATACTATTAAAATTTATGTCTATATGATTCTGCTACTCCATCATTTCCTTGTGCTATTTTATGCTACTTAAGCAATTTTTCGATCTATAATAAAAATATAAATCTGAATATAATGTCTTTATTAAAATTAGTACATTATAAAAAGTAATACGTTATTTAGGCTTGAATTGGCAATTCTGCGATCACAGCCCATGAATGCATATGTATGCAGTTTTCATTGCTAATAGTTGGTATTTTAAATATGTTTCATTCAATGAATTATTTAATAGTTTATTGATCTAAAGTTTTTTAATGTCAGAATATAGCTGCTGCATAAATTAAGCTGTGAATTAAGAGTAACATTAAGAAATCTAGCACCAAAATCATTGGCTTTAAAAATACCTATAATTGAGAACTGGCTAGGAAGAATGAAAAGGGGGGAAAAAAAGACTAAAGCTTACTGAAGTCATATAAATGTGAACTTAGGGCATATTAAATTGATTTAATGGAACACAGTACTTCTTTAAAGCATAAATAAAATTCTATGTTTAAAAACTGATGGTTGAGTTACACTGTGTTTGTTTTATAACACATTTCATTCCAAAAGCTACTTGGTTAGTTGCAAAATGAAAGCAATGAATAATTTATGCAAGCAAAATGAATTGTGGTAAATGTAATCTACCTAGAATGAAGCTAAGATATGAATGTCTATTCATAATCGAAATAACAATTTTATTTAAACTACAAAATTCCAAGTCATTCTTTACACTTTTATCCTTATTGAAATTCCATACAAAAATTCAATATATAGTTCTAAAAATGCTTTTACTTATTTATTTAGTATATACATCAATAATTTTTATATTCTTATAATTTCAGCATAAGTAACCTATGCAACTTTAAATAGTAAAAATAGATAAAAAATTATACATATAATTAAAAAAATTAATGCTAAAATGGTTTTAAAATTTGCACTCAAGCTGAATATCTTTTGTTTACACGAGGATTTAATTTGAATTCATGGACCACAGACTGTATTGCTTTGTTGATGGATGGGCCCAACTGCATAAAAGAAATAGTAATAAAAGGTAAAATATTGCAAAACAAGAGTAAAACAAAGTCATGAACCTTAACCAATATTAGCAATTTTATTACTCATTAAGTTTTGTTTTTTAAAGTCAATTTTTTCCCCTAGTTCCAAAGTGAAATATCAGTTTGTGCCCCACTTACCATATATTTGATATTCACTCTCCTGATCATTATATTGCTAAGAACTAAACAATTGAAGTCACTTAAAAATCAAAGCAACATCATATCTCTTAATAACAGAACAAAAAAATTTAGCAATGAAAGAGGGTAGATTTTTATTATCAACGAGAATCTCATGAAGTGAAATAAATTCATTAATCAGAATAAAATATTAATTGAAAAGCATTAGCAATTAAAGTAAAGCAAGAAACAATGAATAAAAAAACTGTGGACTGAAAAGAATTAATGCAGCAATGGTAATGATCCAAGCATAAGAAAGTATCTAACAACAAGTATGAGTAAATTAAAGAATAAATAAATTAACTGATAATTAAAAGAATTGAAGATTTAAACAATGGAAAATTGGTAAGCCAGTTTTAAGTTAAACATAACAAAGCTATGACATCATCAAAAATCTATTGATCTCTGAAGTCACATTCTACTTTTTGTGAATTTTCAATTCTTCTCTTGCTACTTTAGATAAAAAATTTCTGCTAACCCTGGATAGAAGTTTAATGCCTATAACTAACATTGACAAATGGCATCACATCATTGCAGTACATAAATGTCAAAATCAACATTAATGAAATATTTGAAAATTCATGCGAGTTTTGAAAAGATGCATCTGATATTGTAACAGGCACATAAAAAGAACACCAAACACATTTTTGACTGCTAAAGCTTAAACCAAATATGAGAATCGTTAAAACAAGGTTTTCCAAAAGTCTGTAGCCCACCAGCAGCCAAGTGGTAAACTGGCTGAATAATAGTAGTTTGACTGTGTTCGAACGCAGATTAACAGGCTGACTGCATGGGCATTTTCATAGTTTTCCCCATACGTTCCGTGGACATTAACCAATTCCCCTTAGAAAGCCCTCCACAAAGGCATCCCTCTCTTCAGAAAGATCACCCTTGTGTGCTTTACTTTAATCAAATAAATCAAACCAATGCAAAAATCTGTGCAGTTTTAAGATTAGCTTCTGATATTTTTTCCTTAATGAAATTTCGCAAAGTATTAATTTTCTCAAAGGAAATTCACCATACAAAAATTTAAGCATATTTTATAAACATACTCCACAGATCTCAATAGTACTTTGTGTTAGGAGCTATAAATCTATCTACAATTAAAAATGCTAAAAGTTGCATGTGTTGTAAAATTAACTAGTATAAAATTGCAATTTAAAAATTAAACGCATAGTTTGTTCATTTAATTTTCAACCTTGTGAAAAGAGATATAACATTTACTGTATGGAATATTCTTTTTTCAAAACAAGCACCTACAGCTCTTTCCATAAATCATTCATATGTTAACTACAAACAATTCAAAGAATTATTAGTTTACTCTCATTGCCAAATTTTAATTGGTATTATATGAAGCAAACCATATTGCACTTAACTACATCATTATTGACTATGGAAATATTCAACAGATAATTAAAAAAAATTAACATATGATTGATTCAAATTCATACTTTATGTTCAAAACTTTTCTGGCCAAGTTTTTCCAAGACAAACCTATTTGTATTAAAAACAAGAAATTCTGGTGTTAAAATTTTAACAAATAAAATACAAAAGAACACTTACATAAGATACGTTTAAGAAAATACAGAATTTACAAATTCTAAATTATCTTACTCATGCAAATCTCGAATTCTTGGTGCCAATCCACCAAAGGATGATGCAATGGTATTATTTTCAACTTGTTTAATGCCTGTTATCTTTTGGGATGAGTCAGTGTTCAACATATAATCTGAACGTATTAAACCCAAACTCAACTGCTGTAAAAGGAAAAATAAAATAAAAAAAAATAAATAAATAAAATTCCTTTGTGCATTTTAAAAATTTATTTTACAAAAGTGCTGTATATTTATTGTATCAGAAAAAAGGTACTTCCTTGTTAATGCAACCACCTTGATAAGTCACCAAAATGGAAAGATTAGTCACCAATTTTAAATTACATTTTTTTGAAATGTTGATTATTTTTACCAGTAAATATTTAAGTGGCAGCAATATGCTGGACAAGAAAAATGGTACTTCATTCTCCCCATGTACAAAGTGATCTGTTTTCATATTTAAAAAAAAATTGCACAAATTTGAAACTGAACATTGCCTTGGCATTGAGCACATTAGACTTTATATAGATACATATAATAGAAACAAACTTAGAAGTAATAAACAACAGGAATATTTCCTCGCAGGCATGATGGTCTAATAGTGCTGGAATTCTTCCCGACCGATGCACAATGTGAAATATACTAATCCAAAATTGTAACTATCATCAACGTCAATTTAATTTCTTTCGGTGGTTCAAATTTGTAATGGGATAAAAGGCTCAGTCTGAAACACAACAAAAACTAATTTATTTACAAGTTACTGAAATAGAGCATTATACTTCTTTGCCTCTAATTATTAGGGCCGGCAACTCCCTTACAAACATTCTACAAACTAAGTTAAGCACATCTCATTACAGTTCAAATTCTAATCCTACACTGAAGAAAAAGGCAAAGTACAGAGACCTCTATTTAGCAAGTTTTGCAACACTAAATGGACGCGTCAAAGGTGCTCCATTCAGAGTTGTTTCCTGTGATTTTAAAGAATCAAGTCGCCCAATTTGCCAGGCCTTTGGGGATGATGCCGTTAACAAACGAACTGCTAGGCAATGGTTAGAGAAGTTCAGGGCAGTGGATATGTCTCTTAGTGATACACCACACAGCGGTCAGTTAAAAGCACTGGACGAGGAGATGATGAGGCCCTGAGAGCAGCCATAGAGACTGACAGTACCCAAACATGTGCTGAGCTTGCTGCACACTTCTAGGTATCTGATGAAAGGATCAGCCTCCATTTGCAACGCACAGAAAAGGCATACAAGCTGAGCAAGTGGGTACCCCCCTCACTGTCCGATGCAAACAAGCAACAGCATGTCACTGCCTGTTTGTCATTGCTTACTCAGCACCACAATGCATTCATATTTGATGAAGTACTCACTAGCAATGAAAAGTGGGACCAGTATGACACAACCAGGCATTCTAGACATTGGTTGACACCACTCCATGTTGCCTCGTCCAGCGAGACCTTCTTTCCATCCACGCAAGATCACGCTCTGTATCTGGTGGACTAGTTACCAAATAGTGCATTATGAGCTCTTGCCAGAGGGCCAAACCATCCCGGCAAGCCTGTACTCGCAGCAGTTGGAACACATGCATCAGGCACCAATGCATAAAGAGCCAGAACTGGTCAATTGTAAAGGTGCACTCCTCCTTCATGACAATGTGAGGCCGCATGTAGCTCGGGAGGCCAGGGTCACCATCCAGCGACTAGGCTGGGAGACGCTACCAAATCCACCATACTCCCCAGACCTTGTGCCAAAAGACTACTACCTTCTCCATTCCCTGGACAACAATCTTTGTGGTAAATCCTTCAACAACCGGTCAGACCTCGAACAGGCCCTCACAGACTTCTTTCTGTCCAAGACTTCTGAATTTTACCACGTTGGCATCTCATAGCTAGCCACTTGTTGGCAAAAGGCACTGGATGCTGATGGTGATTACTTTGAGGATTAGCAGTGATTATTATTTGTTTTACGACTTTTTCTTTCTGACTGTCTAAAACGGCAATAACTTTGTTGGTTACCTTGTAATTCTAAATGTTACCAAATTTTGACAAAGCAATTATACTGGTAGCTTTAATAAGGAAGAAACAGACAAAAAAAAAAAAAATAACATAAATTTCCAGTCTTGCAGAAAAAGAACGACATGATACATCAGCTATAAGTTAACCTAACAGTTTGACTAAGAAACTAATAGGTTGACTTTAAAAAAGAAATCTGGATACTGTTATATTTCTTCCTACACACAATGGGCCTTTTTATTACTTTGGATATAATTCAACTACCAACATAATTTATCACATACATCATTCATAAAGATTACTAAATTAATTTTCTATTAATTTTTGTTTTAATGATGAAAAACTTACAGAATTCTAATACACAAATCTTCTACTGGTTACCACTTCTGAAAGTGACCTTAGAGATGCGATGTATAAGAACATCTCTATAAAATTATTTAATATCCATTTATATTTATATCCATTTATATATTTATATTATTATCCATTTATATCTCTATAAAAAATCAAAATAATCTAAAACTATACTGACTGTCTTGGAGAGGTTTCACTGTGTCTTCTTCATCAATTCATTCTTTAATTTATCATCTATTCTTAATAGAGCTAGGACTAGAGTGAAGCAAGTGAGGCACTTACAGTTAGGAAGAGTACCAAGTTTAGAAATGCAATAAAAAATTTTAAATTATGGTTTTTAATTCTCAATTCTGAAATGCACTGAGAAACACCATTTTAAAATATCATGTTTTAAGAACTAAAAAGAGTGTCACATATTTTAGCACTTGCACGCTTTTCCTTAATGAATTAAAAAAATCAAATGAAAAATTTATTATTAACATTTTAGTATTTTAAGTGACATAGAAAAATCATTATTACATTGTATTTTATATAATTTAAACTTGTTATTATTGCTTTATGCTTACATAAGTGCATCAGATATAATAAGACAGCGAATTTTCACACCAGGTAACAGATATTTCAGGAATGTTCCTTCTAAGCCATGAAAACACAGAGATGAATCAATGCATCTAGTGTAATATCACATGTTCGATGCACCCATTCTCCATGGATACACAGATCCAGATGCGTGTATATGCTCCATATTGTTCTGCAAGCATAAAAAGTGGCACATGCACCAAACAAGGTTATTCTCTTTGGGAGAAAACTGTTTGCCTCATGGAAACAAGTTACTGGAAGCCGCGTGAAAGGAAAGTGTGATAATAATTTTTTTTAAGATTTGATTTGTAAATAGATTTTTATTTGTATTTAAGTCTAGAAGGAAAGGTTTTTTATGCCTCTAACTTTGCAGTACTGAATTTTGTGAAAGTCTGTGATATGAAAGATTTATATAAGGGATTAGGGATCTCGCTAGCCACTTGTAGACTGTATAAAGATTTTTAAACATAACAGTGTCAGCACTTCGACACAGCCACTTGATGAAAACACTTTAGTTGATGACAATACTAGTGCTTCGAGACAGCAGCTAAAAGTTCACTGCTGAGAGTAACCACAAAAGAAGGAATTCAGCATTGAAGGTATGCCAAGACCAAAAGGATCACCATATCATTATCAAATGAATTATGCACTTAATTGTCTGATGCAGTGATGATGAAGGTCCCTGAAGTGAAGTGTGGTGTCTATGTTACAGAAGAAGCTGGCTTATTTGAGTATCTCTTATTAATCTTAATAATCTTGAGGCTTAATTAAGGGAAAGAAAAGTAAAATTCTTTAAACAAACTGAGTTTAAAATTGGGGTTGAAACTGCATATGAATCAAACTGTAAAATTTGCTCAGTAATTATCTGTGTTAGAAGTTGATTGTTGATTAATGAGTAACAGTTTAGTAATTATAATGTACGCATGTAAAGACAGCAGAATTGAGTGAAATATATCAATTTAATAAGGCAGGGAAAAATCTGTACTTAAGCGTGAAGAGAAAGCAATTCTCTGAGAATTATTTGAATGATATTTCATATTAACAATGAATTGTATTGAATGTCAGTAATATTTGAATAAGAAGTTAAATCTCTTACCCATACTGCCAATGCATTATATCTTACTGCATAAATTGATATTAAGTGGTATATTTGAATACTAACTGTGTATTTGAATACTAACTGTAACTAACTATTTGTAGTATAAATATGAGTGGCTAGGAAGTATTAATACAATGTATTAAGGTAGATTTAGATCTACTGAAAGTATTGTATTTTAATTTAGTAGTCGAGAGAAAATCTAGAATTTGATCAAAATAGGAAAATAATGTATTTAATGAAAGTCAAGCACAAAGAGCTACTGCGATTAGCTGGGTCTTGTTATAGGCACAGGAATGAGAAAAGTACAATTAAGCGATGCAATTCCAAATATTTCTATTGTCTGCATGTGGATATTAGTCTGGGGAAGAAGTTTATACTGAAATAAGAAAAGAAGCCCTCTACACTCTCCTTTAACTTCTTAAAATGAACAAGAAGAGGAAAAATAAAAATTTCATCTTCATTGAAGAATCTCGAATAACTTCTAGAGTTGTTAAACACTCACAATAATCAAAGTTGCAGTTGGTATTTTTGGCAGTTATTATGCAATGCATATTATTTACATGTTATTAGATTCTTAATTAAATTTTATTTTCTTTAAATCTCTTTCATTCTTTTCCTTTTAACTGATGTAAAACATGACTTTTAAATCTTAAAAATATATATAAAAGAATTTTATATTTCAAAATATAACATTCAAAAGTAGCTAAAATTAAATTTTGAAGTCTTTCAAAATATGGTACTTTTCCGTTTTGCTGTTGCAAATGATAAAGTCGCCAATAATGATACAACTTATGCCAAACGGAATATCTTCGCTAGTAACCTTTAATGCTTCATTTTCAAAACACGTCGCAGCCATTTCTTATCAAATTGATTGTTTCTTTTAATACCGGCATACAACTGCATAGAATTTTTTACAAGATAGTTAAATTTTATACCCTAAGACCATTCGCGGTAATTAAGTCAATTAGGATGCAATCACACCGCTCACCCGAAGGTGAAAATATAGAAAAGGCAAAATCAAGGGTTAAATTCATCAATTCTAATGAGAATGCACTAGTAAAGTAAATCAATGCGGTTTTACATAATTTCTGAGTAAGCTAGTCATACAAATTGAAATAATTCTTGCATTTAAACTTGTATTCCAAATTAGGATTTAACTTGAAATTAATATAGATAATTACCGAGAGAATAAGTTTTTTGTAGCGTAGTTTACGTGAGATGAGATCACCTGGGGTCATGTGATATGAACTGGTGAATCAGGATGTTGAACCATGAAAGCATAGTAAATTCTTAAATTAATGTCTGTTTACAGATTTATTGCCTTTATTTTTTGGCTTTTTACAAAATTTTAAACCATATTAAAATGTTTATGCTTTCAAAATAAAAAATCCTTAGAACTAACATTTGTTAACATTTTTTATGTGTATATACTGTTGCCAACAATGTCTGCTCGGCGAGATTTGCGCCGGCGAAACAGAAAAGTACCCAAAATATCTTATTTTGAAGCTATAAAACAAATAATTAATTACAAATTAACAACTGAGAAATAAAATAATTAATCCATAAATTAATACTTAATTTGCTTAAAAGCAAAATTCCAAATTAGAATTATATTATTGGAGAAGTCAAACAACAAGAATCAGTGCAATATGTGTAAATTTTGCAGAACTAGTTTTGATGGTCCATTAAAACCAATCCTACAAAATTTACAAATATTACATTAATTCTTGTTGTTTGAGTTCTCCAATAATAATTTTTGGTATATTATTTTAACCTAAATCATAGTTACCTGTTCTGAAATTTCTTGATCACATTCTTCATAGATCTTGAAAATATTTCGAGTAAACTCATCCACTTCAATTGTACTAAAAAAATTTGCAATGAATTTCAATCTTACTTAAATAAATTATGATGCTAAAAATTTCATGCAGAAGAAATATTCAGGTATACAAAAAAAAAAAAAAAAAAAAAAAAAAAAAAAAATTAAGTTTAAAAAAATTAAAACTATAAATTAAACAAATTTACCTAGACAAACATTTTTTGAGAATTTCTTTAGAATAAGAGAGTTGATGGAGAATTAAATTAATATAAGGTTGCAAGTCATATACAAATTGGAAAAATTTTGCAGGGAATGGTGATGGAACAATACAAAAAGAAAGTGGTACCCTAGCATCCAATGGTAAATCAGATGCTCTCATAGCAATACCTAAAACAAAAGAATATCATGTACTTAAAAACAAACTATTAAAACATAAGGAACTTAGCTAGTATATTCTTACTATGCTGTACAAGATCACCAAAACTAAACAACTGCTCTAACTTACAATGATGATTCTATTATGGATGGTTGTAAGCTAAGAATTCCTTATTTAACAAAAACATTTTGATTATGATCCTTGTGTAGAAATTCTAAATATCTACTACCATCTATACCAAAAATAAATAAACAAAAATAAATTAAAATTAAAATATATTACTATATTTATTTGCACATTCCCCATTCTTTTTACTAATTTTATTGTATGAAAATTTAGAGGGGAAAATTTTGAAAATAAATTAAAAAATGCAGTTACAATAAGAACATAACAAATGAAAAATATTTATTACTACAATTAAGAGCAACTATCAGAATTATATTATAATTTCTGCATGACATCTTACTAGATTTAAATTGATGATCTATAATCTGGAAAAACCCTAATCCGGAATTGCCGAAGTCCCGACGAGTCCGAATTAAAGATTTTGTATTGTATTTAACATTTTCTAAAAAATAATTGTGGGTGAAATTTCTGAAATAAAAATGAGGGTACTTTTCTATTTTGCCAGTGCAAGTCACCAATAATGGTACAACTATTGCCAAACGAAATATCTTCGCTGGTAACCTTTTGCGCTTCATTTTCAAAACAAGTCACAGCCATTTCAATACTGGCATACAATTACATAGAATTTTTACAAAAGATAGTTAAATCTTATACCCTAAGACCATTTGCAGTAATTAAATCAATTAGAATGCAATCACACTGCTCACCCGAAGGCGAAAATATAGGAAAGGCAAAATTAAGGGTTTAATTTATCAATTCTAATGAGAATACACTACCAAAGTAAAGCACTGAGGTTTTAATTTCTGAGTAAGCTATTCGTATGAATTGAAATAATTCTTGCATTTAAACTTGTATTCCAAATTAAGATATCACTTGAAATTAATGTAGATAATTACGGAGAGAATTATATTTTTGTAGCGTAGTTTATGTGAGCTGAGATCACTTGATACGAACCGGCGAATCAAGATGTTGAACTATGAAAGCATAGTGAATTCTTAAATAAATATCCTTTTCAAATTTAGTGTCTTTATTTATTGGCTTTTTATAAAATTGTAAATCATATTAATATGTTCAAAATAAAAAATTCTTAGAACTAAAGTTTTTTATGTGCATACTGTATGCTGCGAGATTTGTACCGGCGAAACGGAAAAGTACCAAAATGAGTCTTTAATGTCAGATTTCTTTTGTAAATAATTTAAATTCTTAGCTATTTATTGCACTAAATAGTTGCCTTTTGAAAATTATGCTTTACAGTATAAATAGTAATCTAGTGACTATCATTTCCAATACAGATTTGAATGTCTTTTTGTTCACAGCTTGACATTTGTAAACTGAATTCTGCCAGGATCTGAGATAACAGCGTGCAATAACTTTTTTTTAAAAAATTTTTTTTTATTTTATGTAACATCATATATATTTCACACATTTAATGTGTAAGTTTCATATCTATAAACATACTTTTATCAACTTTAAAAATAAGTCTCACATGATGTACATTCTGATGTCCACTTCATCAGAGCATCTCTCTTGCAGATAATCGTTTTGCTCCATAAATAATTTTATCATTCGCAGTCTCTTTGGGAAGGGGGGAATATAACTGTCATAAACGAAAACTTGATTGCCTTCAGATTTATTTCTACTTTGGAATTTCTACATACTAAGTATACTTATTAGTATTACATTTCCAACATAAAATCTATACTCCATTGGATGGGGATAAGCCCATATTTGCACTTATCAGGAAAATACATCATACCACTATAATATATATATATATATATATATATATATATATGTAATGAAAAAGACTTAGCCTTAATGATACTGTAGCAGCACTGATTGCATTGTATTAAAATAAGCAATATTAATGTTGTAGAAAAATTGATTGCACAGATATACATAGAAATACTAATGGCATAGAAACATGAACTGAATATTCATAATTAAGCGCAAGAATTTTAATTGCATAGAATGCTGAATTCAGTGAATTTTTGTGGTGCAACTTACAATGAATATGGTTACCTAATGCATTGTTATGCACATGGTTACCAGAATTTGATACCTTCTATTAAGTTGGTTGTGATAACACATAAGTACTTATATAGAGCATTTTTCCAAATTAGCTGACATTTCCTACAGATGCATCCTGAAAGCCAAATAGCATAACTGAAAACACATAATAAGGAATTTAGTAACTACTGTTTTCTATATTTTAAATCACTTTTACATTTATAGCTAAATTATTAACTTTACATATGAATACAACTATAATTTACCACATCACGAATATTTTGATCTAAATGGAGTTAATGTAATTTATTCAGAGAAATTAACTTAATTGTTATACATAAATATTAGGTTGATCTTTACAATATGGTAACTGGTAGTTTGGCGATATTTTGGAGGCGATAAAGGTTACTATCTGGCACTTTGGTAATAATGTGAGCAGTACTCAGTTCCGATTACGCATTATTTTGTGTGAGGGAAATGAGAGATCATGGGATATGTCATGTGATATTAATGGACAAATTACGGTTCTTTAATCGGAAAAGGGGGGGAAATCGGGAAAAAAATCTGGAAATTTTGTATTTGGCTTTATTCTGTGTTGTGTGAAACAGTGTTCGTGAATTTTTGGATCCCATGGCCGTAACTAAAGTGAATTCGAAATGGGTATTTATGTATGTATTAATTTAATGTATGTGCTCATTTATATTTTAAGTAGTGTTTTTGAATTTAATTATATTTTAATTAAATGATAGTTATTTTGTGAATTTTATGTTTGTAGGAATTTGGTACACGTTTTAGTTGAAGTAGACGTGCATGGAAATAATTTAAATATCTGACAATAAGTATTTGTAATGGTTGCGGTATGAATTCGTTGGTGACGTGTATAATGTAATAGATGATTTAGAGGTAAAAGTTTTTGGATATTTTATTTATTTTATATGTGGAAATAATAAAAAGGGGGGAAATCAGGAAAAAATCTGGAAATTTTGTATTTGGCTTTATTCTGTGTTGTGTGAAACAGTGTTCGTGAATTTTTGGATCCCATGGCCGTAACTAAAGTGAATTCGAAATGGGTATTTATGTATGTATTAATTTAATGTATGTGCTCATTTATATTTTAAGTAGTGTTTTTGAATTTAATTATATTTTAATTAAATGATAGTTATTTTGTGAATTTTATGTTTGTAGGAATTTGGTATACGTTTTAGTTGAAGTAGACGTGCATGGAAATAATTTAAATATCTGACAATAAGTATTTGTAATGGTTGCGGTATGAATTCGTTGGTGACGTGTATAATGTAATAGATGATTTAGAGGTAAAAGTTTTTGGATATTTTATTTATTTTATATGTGGAAATGTTCATATTTGGAAAGGGTAAATACTTTTTCACGATCAGGTAATTTCATATATGTTCTTTTTACCGGGTTTAAAGATTCAGAAAATTGTCATGTATTTTCGTGAAATTTTTCTAATCTATGAGAAAAAAGCAGTGTACATGGATATAGTGAAGAGTGTGCGCAATGCCATTTTTGTGCAATTCTGGGATGTTTTTTTAAGTAAAAATAAGTCGGTGTGTACATGGTTTATGTGTATGTGTTATTTTGAAAAACGCGTAAGGAGTATGGTATTGTGCACTTTTTTTTTCCCAATTTTGCAGTGAATATTTGTCATGATTAAGCAGTTTTGTTAGATAAAATTTCTAGCATAAGTGTAATTCGGCTAGTAGATTGTTGGAAGAAGTGTTCAGTAGATAAAAAGAAAAGAAACATGTCTTTACTTCGTGAAGACAAAATGGCGGCGGGAAAAAAAATAGAGGGTTGCTGTAGGAGAGTTAGTCGCCAAATGTTCGCCAAAAAAACGCCAAGTTACCATAATGTAAAGATCAACCAAATATTATATTTACCATAATTGTTATTTTACACATATAATATTTCTCTTTTATTCACTTAATAAAGGAAAATATTCAGCTGATCTTTATTCTACGGTACCCCTTGATTTTTTTCTTAAAAAATTCCCATGGGGTTCCAGATTTGGTTGTTCGCCAAATCTGGAAGCCCACAGCAGGTTTTATGGGAACCCTAATGTTGGTATGTTAGCAAAACTACTAATTATTGTGATAGTTTTAATTTTATTTTAGCCTCCTGATTTTTAAGTGAAAACAGATCGATGTGTACATGGACAAAGTTAAGGCAGTGCACAATGCCTAGTTTGTGCAATTCTCTGATTTTTTTTTTACGTGAAAATAGGTTGATGTGTTCATGGACACTGAGTTTGTGCAAGTCTGACTTCTTATTTTGCATTGTGTAGCGGTCATCTTGAAATCGTGCCTTCCTGCCGCCGATCTTGGCATAAAAAAAGAAACGATTCATCAAGGGCTATATAAAGGGATACATTTTTACCTATAATTTAGTAATTTTTTACACATTTGTTTGCCTGTTAAATCAATAATCTTGATTTAAAAAATCCTATCACTGATTCTGAGGGATTCATTAAATCTGTGTATGGCTGCATTTATTAGATTACATACTCAAGATCATAATTTTAGCTTCGAACAAAATTTTTCTGTGATATCATTACATAAATTAAAGTATGATTCAAATTGTTTAATGATACTTGATTTCTTTTAGAGGAGAAGCTCATTGAAGTAGATGCTGAATTTTACACTGGCTATCTATTAATCAGATTCAAATCCAAACCATTACAATCAAAATGCATTAAATCAAGGCTCAAATTCCAATAACAGAAGAGTATCCCACATTCTGAAAATTAGTAGAATCTGCTAAATTAACATTATGAAGAACATATTAATGAGATAAAGTTCACTTTTGAATTTAATATAAATACTCCAGAATGCTTTTAGAAACATAATACAAATATCTTAGAATGTATAAATAAAAATACTGTTTATAACATGGAATCACAGTGTCAATCAAACAATATGTTTTTTCAATGGTTGGTCACACATCAGAAATAACTGACATGATATGACAAGTAAGATTAATAACGAACATCAGATATTTATAGCTAATATTTACTGTATTTAATTTTATGATGCAAATATTTGTGAAAATGTGCATTAACCCACATTTTGGTGCGATTCAGGCTAAGTCTGCGCTAAAGCTCACGTCAGACTCACAAACATATGTGGTATTACTTCTAAGTAAAAACAAACGTAAGATTTAAAGAATATTTCACGCGTAAATATTTTCTTTCATTAATTTAAATTACTTTTGGTTTAATCCCAGTATCCGGTGCACACGGGATTTGGCTACTTTTGGCGACTGTATGATGAACAGTAGAAACGGACATATACAATGAGTAGTTAACGGGTCATTCAAATAAAATATACAGTTAAACATAGTATATACTATGTATATAGTACATATTTGGATCATTTTTGGTGGTGGCGATAATTTTCAAAATTGCGCGAAGGCTGCACCATATACCAGGATTTTACCTTACTTTTTTTTTTGGTTGCAAATTTAAGGGGAAAAAAAGCGATAGTAAGAAAAAGAAAAAAAAAAGAGAGAGAATTTACGCTTTAGTAAACATCTTATCAGAGGTGCTATGCTTTACGAACACATGCAAAAAACATTACCTCCGACTTTAAAAAGAAATGATTCGACGCAAGCTACTTTTTTAATCAAACTTAAATCCACACTTAGCTGGAAGACTTATAAAATCATATTTATTGAAAGAAGAGAAGTGTAATAACGCCATTCTTACAAAAAAAAAAAAAAAAAAAAAAAAAAAAAAAGGGATGTTCTTAAAGAAAAATAAGAGAAAGAAATCTGTTTAAAAAAAAACCTTTCGAAAAAGCATAATCCTTTGCATCTTCAGCCAAAGCATCCAAGTTCTCCTCATCAATACCGAACCTTGTATTCAAAATATGCTGTTCCATTGTAATTTCTTAAATTGAGAGCAGACGATTTTGTGCCTTTAGCAGTTAAACAACAATACAGAAACTCCTACTTTTATACCTTAAGAACACCTTAACATATCTTATAGTAAAATATCTAATACAATTAACTGAGCATTAATTGCTATTATATATATATAACAAAATAAAGAACAAAACAAGTAACAAAATCGATGCATTCAATCTACAACTTATATAAATCAGAATTTCGCGACTTCTTACAATGAAGCTGAGTTGAGGAAAAGGAATCCTGAAGTCACAAGATTTCAACAGAATTTTAACAATAATAATAATACTAATAAAAATTCAAATACAAATAAAGAAACAAAACATCTGAGAGGTTTCAGATTTTAAATTAGGGCGTTTTCTTAACGTTTTTGCGTGTTACCTTTATATAATAAATATCATGTTCTTCATACTCAAAACATAAAATTCAGTTCAACAGCAATATTTCAAAATAATTTTAAAACTGAGCATATCTTTAGAATTTCCGATTGATCCATTCAATGTAAACAAGAACAAACAATGTTTCAACCGGAACTTATTTCAGGTTAAGTTATTTTTAAAGGTTTTTGTCACCTGTACTGTTGTTTGGGGTCATTTTTCTAATTTTTGAGTGATAGTTGAACAATTTTAGTTTTATTTACTTGTTTATTTATTTTTCTTACAGTTAACAATTAGTTTTCGGAACTCAATATTGGGATATTTTAGTTTTATGTAATTATTTTATTACATTCTGCTAACCTTTGAAAACAAACAACTTTTTCTTTTTCTGTTTGTCTGTCCTGAACCTCGTATTTAAAAACTGAAGAGCTGTAATCTGGATGATAAGGATCATTAGGTTTACCTGAAAAAATATGTATAGTATTGGAAACAGAATGAAAAATAGCATTAGCTTCTATTTTGATATTTCATACACGGATACTTTAATGTGTACTCTCTTAAAATATTGCAATTTTCATAAATAATACTGTGTGCAAACTAAGAATAAAAATTACAGTTAAAATATGTGAAATGAATGCAGAATAAATTTCAATTAGTGTACTGAAAATCATTTGAATTCCAAAAATAAAAAAATAACACGAAAAAAAAAAAAAAAAAGCATCGCCAATAATACTTTCTCTAAAATGCGGTCACACGAATGTAAAGCTTTTTAAGATTTTAATATATGATAACATAACCTCAACAGACGAAAATCGACGATATGTTTACATATCCATTTAGCAGTGCTTAAATTGCGCCCGGCTCCCGTACTTCTCAGTTTTTAAGATAAACTACAATTCTAGCCGCAGCGCACCGGAGCCCTAAATAAGATGAGCTGCGGTACTTCTTTTTACAAATCTGAGCCACAATTTGAAGGGAAAAATTAGATTTCCTAACTTTTAGTTTAACAATAAGCAGACCTTGCAATACTCTATTTCCTTAGAAATACAAACTCATGACAACATGAGACGTTCAAGTAAAGTCCTCTCACTCACATGCGGAAATCTTTCCCTTTGAAGGGCAATAAATTTGCGGGAGTTTGTTTAAGAACGTATAAATTTCAAGGCATGCCATCTTATCTAGTGTATTGTTATCGATGGTTCCAGTTAGTTATCCTCGCAGGAAGGAAAATTTGTGTTTTTAAATGTGCGTTAAGTGACAGTGAGTACATTAAGAGTGAAATACTGAGATAAACTGCTCAAACACGTCCTATACATGGTCTTTCCACAATATCCACTAATGTAACCAAATACGGGGGGGGGAGGGTGAAAAGTGTAACCAGCAATTTTACGTTCATCCTTAGGAGTCAGATTGAGGACACATTTTACCCGTGACACACATCCACTTGATGGCTATAATTATGGGCGCCAGAGACCGAACCTTCGACCTGGGATTCCTTACAAAGTTTAGATGAAACGGGCTCTGGTTGGGACTCATCAGTGGCGGCGCAGACCCCACAGTCCCTGCCCGGCTTTATACTCAGCCTCGGCGAGGTAAAATCAAAATGCGAAATCAAAAAAGATACTAAAGTCACCTTTGCCTCGGGGCACCACTCCCTAAGCATCAGTTAATTCGTGATCGGTGCCTTGCCTTACTCAGTCAGTCCCCGTCACTGGGACTATGAGGGCCAAACCCCCATCGAAAAGCCCCACTTAACATCTACATATCTGCTCCACAACAGCCGAGGGAACGGACACGACAGTACCAGTACGGTCCCTGCCAAGCCCGAACATACCCGAGTACAATACTCGGGTTCTAGTCCTGTGAAGAGTGTTTATGTACCCCAGTGGTTGAGACTGTCTAGGTACAGATCCTAACCAGTAATCAGCAGAGAGCCGCGGTCGAAGAGAACGCTCTCTCTCACCATAATTCCCTTCAATTTTTGTTTCCACTCACTCATACCCTCACGCCCTCATTCTGTTTCACCCCGTTTTTAGCATTATCTGAATTTTCATGAGCTATACGTTAAGTATATTTAATTTTTGTGATGATAAAAGAACTTTCTTTTTTCCTATGATCCCTTGAAATAGTGCCTTATATTGCACAGAAAATTAGTTTTTTTTTCTTCCGTTGCCTTTTGAAAGATTAGACTAATTTATCAAAACGAGAACGAGACAATATGTAATATATTTTGCATTACTTTATTAGGGTCCTACAGTATGTAACATAGTGCAGCCTAAAGTATACTTTATTATTATATAATTTATCAATTAAACGTGATCCTATGTACATAATTTGCAGGAATATCCTGTATTATGTATAATATTCGCTATTATCTACAGTTTTACGTATCTGTGGTAAATCTTGGTATAATGTCATAATTTCAAGTAACTGAAGCCATTGTTCAATATTATATTGTTGCAAAATAACGTCGTTTTCTGAAGAATCGTTTTATATAACAATACGGTAGGATTTAAATCCCCCCTCCTCCCCCCAACAATAAAAATATTTTAACGATTTGTTAAATATACAACTATACTGATATTTCGTTCTTGGTTTATTATCTTAAAGAGAAATATAATGTTTGAGCTTTTTAGCAAAAAGGGCTATTAATTTCGTTTTGTGTCGAAAACTTTAAAAGTCTGTGTCACTCTTCAAATTGTTGCCACCAAATGTTATCGCCCTTTATTATATTTAAACAAATTAAATAATGAAGAATCTGCATGAATATATGTATGTTTCTGGCACTGTGATAAAGCAATGGTACCAGAGCCATCCCATTTTGAATAACATACGCCTCCACCCAAATATAGGCATTTCGAATCTGGAATTTGTTTTATCATCTATTTCAATGCTATACTCATAAATGCTATACAAAATATAGCATTTATGAGTTCTTTAATAAGAAACTCAACGATTTCAAAGCGAGCAATGGCATTTACGGGAAAACAAATATTTCCAGCGCGCGAGCCTGTGTATCGGAAATTCTAAAGATACGCTCTTCTTAAATTATTTTGGAATATTGCCGTTGAATTGGATTTTATGGTTTAAGTAAGAAGAACATGGTATTTAGAAAATAAAGGTAACACACAAAACGTTAAAAAAAAACAGCCCTTTGGGCGTAATGTAAAATCTGAAAACTTTCAGATTTTTTAAAAATATTTTCTTTTAAATTTTATTTCTCAAAGCTTAACATCAGAAGTTGTATTGTTATAAGATCATAGATATTATTACAGATATCCTTTTATATATAGTTTTACTTTTTTTTAATTTTTACTTTTAATTCATCTGTGGCTTTCTTTTATAGATGCCATTTTGGGTGGCGTGTGTTGTTGCGGTAGATAAAACGATGAAAGCTTGGCTCGGTAATATTAACATTTTTATTTAATGCTAGAAAGGATATATATTTTAACACACGTTCACTCATACATAGTCACATTGAATGAAGTGCACACGATAAGCATTTTTACAGGTAGCAAGTCCACGTAGGAAAAAAAATCATGAAAGTCGTATTACAGCTACGAAGACATCACGAAGTGGAAGAGAGGTGAGCGCGTGCTTCACCAACACCTCCTTATAGAAGGAAGCCGGGACACTGGATTGTGACGTCACGCGTAGTCGTCTATGTCGAAACCCCGAGAGAGCAACGAAACAAAACAGGCTGCGCGCTAGTGCCGTACTTAACGTTGATTTCACTATTTGATATAGATACTTGGGTGGGATTTTATTCAGAGATTCAATTATATATAATGAATAATTTAATTACTTCAAAATTTAACACAATAAAATTTGACATAAATTTAAGAATTTTTTGTTTCTTATTTCTTGACTTTAATGAATTATACTTCCTTGTAGGTTTCACAGCAGCATTTAAAAAGTTAAAAATCAGCCATACTAACTCAAAAAAGGAATTTCTGACTTTTCCCTCATAATTTAATATTGCTTTATATTTTTCTAATATTTATGAAAAAAACCCAAATTATCTGCATACAAACTATTACTTATCATTTCATTTTTCTTCCAATCAGTAATTTGTCTTTAAAAGAAAATGGTATAAAAATGCACTAAATTTTGTCTATAATATGCTATGTGTCTTGCAAGTTTCAAATAAATTAGTATATCAGAGGTTTGCTTAGCAAATAATTCAATGTGCAATTTAAAATTATTGCTTAAATCTGTAGAACCAATAATATTAGTTGTATATGTACTTAACTGTATTGTGTTAGTTATATAGCTGAACTTGAAAATAAAGATTCACAAGTGAAAAAAAAAAAAAATTTATTTACAATTTTATGCAAGCAGTCAGCATAACAACACAACACCTAAGTTATAACATACAAATAAGTTAAAACCAGCTGATCTCTTTTTATCAATAAATTATTCAAACTTTCTTGTAAAAATTGAAGCAGAAATCTCATTAAGCATATTGCCATACTAAGAAATCTCATCAATTCTTATTTATTAACAGGTGTGAAAATTTCAAAACTGCTTCTATATTAATTGGGTCTCATCAGAAACAATAAGATGAGACTATGTGACCTTAATATTTAAATTTTGATACTGCAAGTTCAAGTTTCTATTCGTTAAATTTCAACCCATTTTGTCTGGCAATTACAAACACCGTTATTAACTTTTTACAACAGCCAATTAATAGTTTCAAAATGTATTACGATACTGCCATAATATGGATAAATATCGGGCAAACACTTGAGAAGACCGTCCATTACCATTTAAAACACTTCAGGTGCACAAATGATATTAAATTTTATACGATGGCTATTATTATTTATGAAGCATATAA